TCCATGAAGTATCACTGTTATTTGGAACGTCCTTTCCTATTCGAACACGTTTATCCGAAAAGGTTAATTTTTATTCCGATTTCATTTAAAGAACAATCAATAAAAGCTTAACTTACGAAACACCAACATCACTGAAGAGACAGAGTAATGTGTGTTTTCATTTATTTCATTGTTTGTAGAGGATATCATCGCTTCGTACTCTCCTCTATACATCCGTGCACAGCAACCCACTGTGGTTTGGTCTCGTATAGTTGTAACGGTAACGATAGAATTGCAGGCTTACTGGTTCGGTAAATGTATGCAGTGAAATACTGTAAGACAAATTTCGGGGAGCTCAAAGAAACCCTTGGTTTTGATTACGTAATACTAATGCCATTTAATCAACTGGTGAGTTTTGATTACATTAGACTGCATTTTGCAATCCATACTGGTTTAACCTTGCGATTCGTATCTCTCTCATGGTCTATATTCTATAGAAATCCCTTATCTGACTAGAATGTGATTCACATAAAACGAACTTATTCGACATTCCGTTGATTTATTTGAAATAAGCTCAGCATTCAAACAACTAACTTGAATTTTTCGACGCAAACAAAAAATATCGATAGTAATCTTGTTCTAGATGGCTGAACAAAGCTAGTTTGCACGGTTTGTGCCATGGTTGATTTTGCCGCATCTCAGTAGGTACACTCTGACACAAAACAACAGTTTATTTCATGGGACAGTGACATGCGAATTGTGACACTTTTTATTACTTCGAAGGCAGTGATAGTGTGAGTGATAGTTGTTTTTGAACATAGACCCGGTTTCCGTCTTCTACCACTGTCCGCCAAAATACAAGTAATATTCCCTTTTTAATGTGTATGCGGAGCATCCTATGATGGTGGTCACATACTCCGACCTGGCATCATGATCCATGTTGGCTTAGACACCGATTGACTGAGTCACGTGATCAAAGGTTATTCCCTAATTTGACCCCTCAGACCCATACGCACACATCATTCACCACTAACAAAGTCAACCACATAGCGAAATATATTACTCTAAATTAATTGAGTCATTCGCACGAGGTAATGACCGTGGACCGTGTAGCTCAGTGGTAAGGGTTTGGAGTCTCCACCGTATCGTTCGCAGTTCGATTCCTGACACGGGGACACAAAAAGTATGCACCACTGCTGAGTCCGAAACGGAGGAAAACAACTGTCCAGTGCTCTTTGTGTCAGTCAGCACAAATCACATATCGCTTATATAAACCAATTCACTCAGTTACCAACAACCACCCATACCGAACAACAGCGAACACACAAACAGCCTGTGCCATCTATCGCCCGACATCTGTTGATGACATACCATGGTCCGGGCCTGAAGAGCAGATTATCCTAACAATAATCCAAGCTGCTTAGGCAGTAGAAGTTAGTTCGGATTTACCGAACGCTACCTCAGCTTAAATCGTGCAACCCGGCTTTGTTGTACCCCGTCTACAAACAACTTCTCTGAGATAGAAAGGCCTTTGAATAAGCCACAATCCTGATCCAATAGAGAGGATTTGCTCCAGTATGGACAAAACGTTTATCCGCCATGATAAAATTTTACTCATCTTTTAATATTTTTCAATGCGTTTGTCAAGATAAACTAGGTTTGTCCTTAGCGCTTGAGGAATTCAGAATATTTTGTGCTACGAACATTGTGCTGCTTACCTTGTCGAAAACGATCACACATTGCCGCTTGCACTCATCCGGGTGTATGAGCTACAGTCTATAGTTCACAGGCGTACAACCTTTGCTTCAGTTAGCCGAACAATCTATCACAATATCTAAGCCCCTAGGGATAGCTCGTGAGAGACAATGACAATAAAGAAAAACAGTGTGCTCGTACAATTTTTGTCAATTTTCACGAGAGCAGGAAGCGTGATCACTGCCAGCGGGGGATGGATAGTAGTAGTGGTTTCGCTTCCCCATTTCATGCCCAATACGATTCGATTTTTAGTGACCTTGGGCATTCTTATTGATCGATTTTTCTTTCCCATGTGTGTTTGTCTGTGTCCCAACCGGTCACTTCTATAGCCAAAGCTTTTCAAATGTAAGTACAACTTTAATAAGATTATCTTGAAAAATAGTTAAATTCAAAGCATCTTGTAATCATGATACTTTTTCTTGTTCTCATGACAATGTCAACGGAAACCGGTCGGGCCAAATTTCGGTCAGTTACCGGAAACTATTCACTTCTTATTGGGAAAGTGACAACAATACAGGGCATAGATCCACGGTGGAAATGACTTCCCTTTACATGGATAGCTGAATGCAGAATAAGAAATGAAAAGTGTATGTGATATGTGTAAGTGAACTGGGTTGGTAAAACTTCTATTTAGAATTCGCCAGTGAAGTTTATCCGTCAGTACTACTTGTACTTCACAATATACTGACGCAATAGAACATCATTTGCTCCGGAGAACCGGTCCTGCTCGACGCAGTACTTCACGAACACAAAGGTCGGTACCGTTTTGACATCGTATTCTTGCGCAATCTCCTGCCCCGGGTGGATAGGGAAGGGATACAATGTGACAGAACACGCTAGAAGCCATCAACCACATCAGCATTTTTCCATTAAATATATGATCATAAAATGTGAATGACTCAGAAACGTATGAGATGGTGGAACATCATTTTAATCTCTGTTTACAATTTGCTGCATAGAATCAAAAAGGAATATGGATTGATTCCACTGAAGAAAATATACGTCAAACGTTGGGATAAGCATTGATGGGGATAAAAGGCGTCCTATCGCGCTGAAGTATTTCGGCAGTTCAAGAAGGTTTCACCAATCAGTCCACTTAACATGCATAATAATGAACTGTCAGATAATTAATTCTATTGCCCGTTTGGTTTGTCACGACTTGATAATCAAAACGAGGACACGTGTTTGTTTTATATTAGCATTAATCAAAGAAAGATGTCTCAAACAAAATGATTCAGGTCAAATCCAGGTCAATTAATCACTTTTATTCGCCCTATTGAGAATAAATATTCAGCTGCTACATGTGCACTCTACTGCAATGAGCATGATGAAGCATATAAGCATATCTAAACCATCAGGCAAATCCAAAATTGTGTAAAAATTATGTAAGACCTTCAAGGAAAAATATTCCACAGAATGTGTACTATCATGTGTGCTGTTGTGTTTGTATTTGAGGCTAGTGACAGATTCGGTGGTATAATTGCTAAGATTTAAGTGAAGCGGTTGGCATGGAAAACTATAAAAAACATTTGCAGCAGTAAAAGCAACAACACCAGACACACATGCCAATTCACGTTTCCAGACAAAAATCTGATTTGGAATACCGTTTGGCCGTTAACTACTAGGCGTTGTTCCAAGCCTTCTTCTCGTTTTAGACCCAATGTAAAGAATGATTTAAACTACGGACCCAATCAGTGCTCCTAACTTTGAACCACCTTATCATGCAGATCTAGTCTTAACCATCTCCTACAAATAGTTAGCTGTCAAACATTTGGATAGACATCGTTCGAAATATGTGTTCAATATATCGGCATACAACAGCAGTGCATACATGATTCCAGAATTAGTGCGATCACTCAAGATACGGTTGCTCATGAAGGTCTTTTTGTGGTAACCTTGAAATTGTGACCTGCATAATGAAATAACAAGGTTCAATGAATGCTGAGCTTTTGTGCCCAAAACAATGAATATTTGCACTAAGAGGAAAACCGCCCCTCGTCCCCAAGAGCTGAATGAACGCTTCGGTTGATGCGCTACACCGAGCGGGGTTATGAGCTAGAAATACTTACTGATCAATTTTCTAGGATTGTTCTTTTACGACTTGAATTTGATGACAATCTAAGCTTCCACGATTGCACGCGAGTTTGCATACACAAATCATTGAAAGATATTATGAATTTGGGTTAATGAAAAATAAAGACGCAGTGATCAGTAAGGCTAATCAAATTCAGTGTAATTTCGGGATCACTGACAGAAGCAAGCATGCGCTGCGAGTCTGTAAATCTGATCTTCATGAGTCAGTTCTGAAAAGATTAGTTGAGGAACCTCAAGCGATGACTGTGAGCATGTAATGCATAAAGGTACTGATGGAGGCGTATTGTCTTAGCAAATCCGCTTTTGTCATGGTGTTTGATTGTAACATGGCAACGACAACTGCTGAAAATACTCGAACAGTTTGATAGTTTGATTTGAACAGCAATATTTGTGAATTGCATCACTGCACCACTTACCGGTGTCGCATCCACATCCACTCGAACGAAAGTGTAAACCGGGAATTCTTTACGCATCGACTCCCAAGCGGAAGAGATCATTTGACTGGCCCCACACCATTTAGCAGTGAACTGGATGATAACCAGCCGATGGGCGGCGATTTTAATTGTGTTCTCCAAATCTTCCTGAATGTGATATGTTTGAAAGATACAGAGTAAAATTATCGGCAGATGTGAATCAAGAGAATCTAAAACAGCTATTGGTTTGATAGTGTTAACTCTGTCAAAATTCAATGTTTTTGAAAATGTTTCAATCTATTGAATCGATCGACGCTGAAGGCGATAATTTTGAAATGAATAACGACGCCCATAGAACTGCGTATAAAGCCAAGCGAACGCCTTTTTGTGTACTTACAATTGTACCAGTATCAGCAACGGAAAAGGAAGTGGCACATACATCGAAACAACCTTGATTTTGTCACGCAGTAAAAACGTAATGAGTAACAAGCTACTTTGTATTCCTGCCCAATCATGAACCCGGACACAAAGAACTTTAACGCCTTTATTCACTTCATCCTACATTCACTACCTACCTACCTATTGGGCAAACAACCATTTTCACATATAATTTCAGACATTTTGAGCTCAGTAAAGTACGAATAGGCATGACATGCATTTGTCCTGTTCATCTAGCTAGCACAGTCAGTAAAACAGAACAATTTTGAATAAATTTGCTTTTTAAAATCTCCCGCATCTCGATATGTTACTTGAACTAGTAAAATGATTCGCAAACGAATTCTGATGAATAAGCAATCGCAGAAAAAACAAAAAATCTAAAACTGCACTGGCTATCCCGTTTCCTGAAGCAATATTTCTACTTCATACTTGGCTGCAAACATGAAATATTTACAGGATTCGTAAATTATCATGCAAACCAAATTTGGATTACCTTCGATCGAATTTGCCGACTCATGTTTCGAGTTCAGAACTCCGACGGTGCAAAGTGCCTCCACTGAGCATGCCATATCATTTATTCTTCCAAGTAATCAAGCAACATACACCGGTATGGGTGGGTGGGGGGCATAAATTTTACTTGAACAATCATACCGTATGCTCCAATCAGCCGGTGTGCATTGGGGTTGAAATGAGTAAAATAGAAATTAATCGATAAACCAAAACCAGCTCCTACTGTGCAAAAGGTGCAATAAGATTCATCCACGGAAGTGATATAATTTGCTGCTGCTATTGCTGCTGCCTTACACATGCTGACACACACACAAAACGCTTCTATAGACGGGGAAGGAAGAAATGTATCTCAAATGTTGCGTATACATAAGAAAAAATGCAATCAGCGCAACAGGTTTTGTTTGCAGATTTGTGCTTGGAAACAATACACTAGATTTCAGATAGACACGTAACATTACTCCCATTCAACGTATAACCTATATAACCTACATTTGGAGGCACGATTAAAACATATAAGTTGAACACAAAAACTTGACACATAATTAGAGTGAGCTAGTCACAATTTGTTTACTGTAGTAATCATGTTATCTCATGTTCAGTACAAACAATTCGCTCAGATTGGGAATGATAACACAATAATGTTTTGAGTGATAATTTCAGTTCAGTTCACTTTGTACAACCAATAATCATGCACGTTCGTGAGGCGGTCTTATTTGCTGTCTTTTGGCTGCCCATTCGGATGAAGAATACGAGAAATACAGGAAGAATGATAGTAGAGTAGACCAGAAAATGGAGAACTTCAGTGGTCTAAATTGGCAAAGAAATTGAGAAGATGCACGAACGCCAATGTTTACGACACTCAGCCATATCACTCAGTGTCTCTAACCATCGGTTACGATCATCCCGAGTTCACGAGCCAGGAAGCCTAACAGGAACTATGTGACCAAGTACCCTGGGGAGGGTTTTCATACCCCCGTGCCAGGTCTTAGGTTGACCACTCTTGACATTATTCCAACCACTACGTGCCTCGGCAAACATCACGCACCGTGGCAACCTATCTGGTGGCATGTTCAATTCACACCCCAATCAACTTATTCTATGGAGATTGACCACCTGCTCTAGAGGGTGACCGTCATTGCCTAAAACTCTACGCCTGACCTCAACATTGCTCGTTCGGCTGCCTCACCAGACTCGTGCAATACGATGTAAACGGCGGTGTTCAAACACCGACAGTCTATCTCTATCCTGCCCCCTTAATGGTCAAGTTCCTACGCCGTATATCAGAACTGGCCGAACTACCGCACCATACACTCGACCCTTCACAGGTAACCGGATGTTGAGACGGCGCCAAAGATGTCTCACGTTGGCCAATGCCAACCGAGCCTTCTGTAGGCTCATCCGTGATGCGTCCACCGGGTGAGATTAAGCTGTCCAAGTAACGAAACTTAACCACTTGCTCGATTACTTCTCCAGTTATAGTGAGACTGGGTGCTGAACCGACCCTGTCTTGTAGTAACATGTTACATTTTGAAAGTGCAAAACGCATACCAAACATGGCTATGCCAACGCTCAAGCTATCCAGAAAACCCTTCAACTT